CCCCCCCACCCCCACACACACACAGACACACAGACACACAGACGCACACACATACACACTCATCACCACATGCTCACAGCGTCTTGGACGCAGCTTGTGGCGCTCGCGTTGGTCGTGGTGGTGGCGGTGACAACGCCGGCCTGCGCCACGCCCGCGCCTCTCGCCACGCCCGTGCTTCTCGCCACGCCCAACCCCACGTCCCTCCTCACGTCCCTCTCTACAGCATCATGCACCGACCTGCCATGCTGGCTTGCCTCGCTCTCGCTCCACTTTCCGGCTATGGCCTTTGGCCTCGACCACGACAGATACACGCTCGAGCTCGACGGACTCGTCTGTGACGGCCTGCGCCTCGACTCGGTCGGATCGGACGCGCCCGGCGGCTCGGTCATCTCGCTCGATGTCGGTGGCCTGGCCGTCTCATGCCGTGGTGCGTACTACATCGGCGACACCCGCCACAAAGAGCTGCATCTTCGCGGCGGGGCGGCGGTGGTCGTCGACGCGTCTTCGCTCGCCGCGACGCTCGCCCTTGTTGCCGGTCCGGACGGCCTCGCCCACACCGCGAAGCTCACCCACTGCCTTGCGTCGGTTCATGTTGCGTCGGTCGCCTTTGCCGGCTCGCTCATCGAGCGCGCCATTCTTGACGAGGTTGCTAAGCTCGCTACTCCGTTTATCCAGCGCGAGGTTGACAAGGTCATCTGCGCCGAGATGAAGACCGCTGTCGCTACCAACCTCACCGCGGCGGTGCAGGAGGCCAACGCCAAGCTGGCGCCATGCGAGACACCGCGCCCCCGTTACCGCCGCCGCCGCTCCCGCCAGGCAACATCAAGTGGATTGGCAATCCCGTGGTCGGGCTCCTCGACTACGTTCTCGACTCGGTTGTCGGCGCCAGCGGCCCGCTCGGACTTAACAAGATTGTGGACGTCCTCACCGCAGGCACCGGCATGGTGTACATCGACGACCTGGCAAGCTTTGGCCTGCCTGACTCGGCTACTTTTCCGCTCGGCTCGGCCGGTAACCTGACACTCACACTGCACTCGCTCAATGTCTCGGGCCTCAACACATGGACCAAGTTTGACGCGCTCGTGCCGACCGGTGCGTACACGCTCACCTCGCAGACCGCCACCTCGAAGCTCATGCTGGTTGCCGACGTCTCGGTCAACGTCTCCATCCCAGCATCGAACGCTACCCTTCGTGGCGCCGAGCTCTACGAGGCCGCGCAGCTGGAGGTCTCGCTCGCCGACTCGATCATGGACTTTGGCGTTCTCCTTGGTGTTCTCGAGAAGCGGGTTGTTGCGCTCTCACCGTCGCAGGTTGAGGATCCCGGCTGTCTCCTTGCACTCCTCTCGGTCGTCAACGTCACTGACATCTCGTTCAACACCACGGTGGAGAGTATCTCGCTCACGCCGCTGACAAATGCCAACGGCGTCGAGGGCGAGCTTGATGCGGCGCTCGACGCGTTTGTCGGCATGCTGCTGTCGTCATTCAACGGCGCCGTCCCGGCCTTTTTCGACTGCTTTATCGCTACGCCGCTCTCCGAAACGTTCAACGTGTGGATGGCGGGCGTGCTCGCGGACCCGCCGCTCCTCTGCTCGGCGCCGACTTCGCCTGCCGAGACCTTCAACTACCGCCGGACGTTCCAGGCCTTTCTCGGCGCGCTCATCCTCTCGCTCCTCATTGTTGTTCTCCTTGTCCTTGTCCGCAACTCGATGGCGGCCGGCTCGCAGGTGAAGGGCGCTCACGAGGAGAGCCCGCTGCTAAGCAGCTCGCGCGCCGGCACCTACGCCGAGCTTGCTGCCGACGCAGCCTCACCGGGATCGTCGTTTGCGGCGCTGGGTGGCAGACTCGACGAAAAGTCGTCGTCAAGCGCAGGCTTTGCGCTCGCCTCGCCACGGGTCGGCGACTGGCACTCGCGGAGAGGATGTTGCGCGGGGCGCGCTTCGCTCTCGGTCGACGACTCGGTCCCGTGGTTCGCCCGCTACGCCATCCCGGCCGTCATACTCGTCAACATTGCGCTGTTCGTCTCGGCGAACACCTCGGTCGGCGCCTCGGTCGAGGTTGTCATCACTCTCGGCACTGGCAAGGTCATGCTGCCGCCGATCTTCTCGTTTACGCTCGCCAACTCGGTCCACGACATGTGGGAGGCCGGTGTGTACCCGCTTGCGCTCCTCATTGCGGTCTTCTCGGGCGCGTGGCCGTACCTCAAGCTCCTCATGATGCTCGGAGCATGGCTCATCCCGGTCTCGTCAGACGCAGGGCGCGAGCGGGTCCTCCGCATTCTTGACGCCTGCGGCAAGTACTCGCTCATTGACTCGTACGTCTTGGTCATGATGATGGTCGCCTTTCGTATGACCATGGCTGCGCCGGCCGTCCCAAGCGCCGACGTGCCTGCCGGCGCTACCGCCATCGACATTGTCGTCGTCCCGTACTTTGGCTTTTATGGTTTTCTCATAGCCACCATTGTCTCGCTCTGCCTCACCCACGTCATCCTCCACTACCACCGCGCCGCTGCAGCGGTCCACCAAGCCGCAGATCCGAACCCGGACGCGGTCACCGGCCCAGTCATCCTGCCATCGGCCCGAGTGGCGCTCGCCTCGTCGGCCCGCGCCACCTCAGCCTGGCTCCCCGGCTCGGTCGCTCTCCTGCTTGTCACCTCATTTGGTCTTGTCGCCGCAGGTGCCGTCGTCAAGTCGTTCGAGCTCGAGTTCCACGGCCTCACCGAGCTCGTTCTCGCCTTTCTGGGCGAGAAGACCGCCACGTCGTACTCGCTCATTTCGCTCGGCCTTGCTCTGCCAAGCGCGTCGACCGCGCCTGACTCGATCGGCATCCGCACCATCCAGCTCACCTTTTTCATGTTCGCCATGATCATCCCGGTCATCCACCACCTTGTGCTCGGCATTCTCTGGCTCGCTCCGCTCACCGAGGACCAGCAAGAGCGTATCTTTCGGCTCGCCGAAGTCCTCAACGCATGGTCGTCGCTCGACGTCTTTGTCATCTCGGTCATAGCCGCCCTCCTTGAGATCCACCAATTTGCCGCCTTTATCGTCGGCGACAAGTGCAACGCCATCAACCCGCTCCTCGCCCAGTATTTTTCCAGCCCTCTCCACAACGACAACACATGCATGGACGTCCGTGCCACCCTCGATCACGGCTGCTGGATCCTCTTCGTTGCTTGCCTCATCTACATCTTCTGCTCCTCGGTCATCGCCCAGTCGTGCCACTCGGCCCTCGCTCGCCGCCGCGCTTCCCACCGCTCGCCGCACCGCTCCCCGCCCATACTTGCTCTCAACTGATCGCCCCCCCCCCCCCCTCGCTCTCGCTCTGGTCTATTGAATATGACGATACTTGTCTGGGATGTGACTGGCCTTCATGATGCCGTTCATCAACATTTCACTCGCCACCCGCGCCCCCTCCGCCACGGTCGCCACTCAGCAACTGTGCTCTCGACGAGTCGTCGACTCAACATTGCCTTTGCGTACGTTGCACAGATATTGCCCCCCCAACGTCCCCGGCCTCTTCCTCCTTTCAGTTCTTGGTTGTGGCTATGTACCCATGCGCACCACAACCCAGTACTACGGCCACAGCCCCGGGTCCCATGCCCAGCTAGTCGTCCTCCCAGACACGGCGGAGCCCCACGTGGTCCCCCCCTGGGGGCCGCCGAGGGGGAGAGGCCAAAAAACAGGGTCGATTTTGCGGCGAGGGGGCATTCCAACCGACACTGCTGGGAGGGACCGAGTCAGTGTGAGGCACGTTCGGGAGCGGACAAGAGCGGAATGGGGTAGTACTTGGAGCGGGTAAGACCTCTCTATGTCCACAGCTTGTGCAGAAGCGTCATGGGTGAGTGCGGGTGCGAATGTCCCCCCCTGGCTGCCTGGTTGTTGATTCTGCCTCGTTGGGACATTCGGGTGTAGAATCAATGCTGCCGAGTGACGGCTGGCCAGCTGGCGCTGCCACTCACCCACCTATGTGCGTATCAAGACAGAGCGACAGGCGGGACGAGCAACAGAGAATCGAAGCGGCGATAGGGGACAGGTGAAGGCTGCGAGCACTGATCTGCAGGGAAGCAGCATGGTGATTGTTTCAGGTTCGGAGCAGTCGGCACTTGCAAAGCCCAATCCCGCAGGGTCGCCGTCCAAGAAGGCGAGCAAGAAGAAGGCCGGCGTGAGCAAGAAAGCGGGCAAGGCTTTGGGGACGGCAGCGGCGCCCACAACCAAGAAGAAGCCGACCGGGACGACCCGTGCGCGCAAGCGGGCGTCGCGTTCGCCCGAGGTGGTCTACTATGAGTGCCAGCATACCGGGTGCGGGATGCTCTCGCTGGACCCGCGGCAGATGGCCGGCCACGAGCGGCGCTTCGGCCTGCACAGCCAGCACGTGGCCGAGTGCGGCGGCGACTGCCCGCGATGCCGCGACCTTTTTGAAGCTGAGGAGTGGACGATAGACGGCGGGCGCGACGACCACATCTGCCGGCATGCAAACTGCGAGTACTTTTCGTCGTCGCCGCGCATTGCCAACCGCAAGCAGGCGGTGGAGCGCCACGAGATGGCCTTTCCCATCCACTACATGCACTTTGAAGAGTGCGGCGGTGAATGCGAGATGTGCAAGTCGCTCATCTCGGGCCCGTGGCAGGCCGAGCGGGCCAACTGGTTGCAGAACCAGACCCAGCTGGTCCGCAGGCTCGCCTCCAAAGAGGCTCAGAACAGAGCATGCCTCACCGTGCTCCCTCCTATCCTTCCGCACCAGACCTATGTCCGGCACCATGTCGACATCAACTTTTCCAAGGGCCCCAAGCAGCGCAAGGGCATCGCTTCGCACCCTGCGCCGACCGAGCACCCGCCGCCGATCGACGGTGCCGCTGCTGCCGCTACGCCGCAGCACGGAGGTGCGGCACCCGCTCGGAAGCCAGTGGCAGAGACAGGCGCAAAGGCTTCCAAGGCTCCCAAGGCTGCCAAGGCTCCCAAGACTCCCAAGACTCCCAAGACTTCCAAGGCCAAGGCCAAGGCGAAGGCCGGGTCGGCCCCGCAGCGGCCGCGGCCGCCGTCGGTCCCGATCCCGAACGCGAACGGGTCGATGGGTGCGACGCGGGTCGAGCTCGCGACGCCCAACACGATGCGGGCGGCGACAGTGATGACCTCACTTGTTCCACCGCATCCTGCGCCTGACTCTGCGCGTGGGCAAATGATCCGCAGGCGTGTCATCCGCAAAAAGTCGTCGTCGTCGAGCACATTGCCGCAGACGTTTATGCCGCCGGTTAACCTTGGGCGGTCGGTGTCGATGGCCGGGGCGCCGCAGCTGCTCCGGGGCAACGCCGACGCCAAGGCATCCGCGTTCAAGAAGCCGTCGCGAGTGAGCGAGCTGGACCCGTACGCATGGCCGAGCAAGCCACTCCCGCACGACGAGGCTGAGTACTACTACGCGTACTCGTACGAGGAGGGCGTGGAGGCGGAGCCGTCCGGCCCCGCGGCCTTGGAGGCCGCGCGCGACGACGACGGGCTGAAACCCTCTCTGGAGGCCAGCTCCGGGTACTATCAGCCGGGCGACGAGGACAACGACCCGAACGTGACCATGGCCGCGCCAACCAAGATTGCTGTTCATCCGCGCGCCGATGTACGTGCGGCTGTTAGCTCGGGCCTCGCCGAGGCCAACCGGGTGACGCCCAAGAAGCCAGCGACGACGTCGCGCTCGTCGTCACGGGCGGGCCTTGCCGACGAGGAGCTGCTCACGATGGGCCTCGACTCGGCGTCGCTGACCATGGTCGAGCCGCAAGTCGGCCGCCTCACGCCGACGGCAGCGCAGCTCCGCGAGGACTACGCGAGCGTGACGACGCCCAAGCCCTCGGTGGAGGCGCCATTCCGTCCGTTCAACAGCGGCGCCGTCGCCGAGGAGCTCTTCCCCAGCCTCGGCGAGCCGTCGGCCGAGGCGAGCGAGAGCCGCAAGCGCAAGCGTGGGCCCGGCGCCAGCGGCGATGACGACGGCCTGGACGACGACGGCTCGGCTGCGTCGCTCTTCAAGGTCTCGCGCAACCTGCTCGGCGAGCCGTCGCGGTCGCGGCTCCCATCCTACCTCGACCTCGAGATGGGCTCGAGCGACCCGGAGCTGGCGTCGATCTTTGACGATCCCGCCGAGACGGCGGCGCCGGGTGTCCAGCGCTCGGTCTCGGCGCTCCCGCTGCTGGAGCGCGGCTCGATGCCTGCGCTCGCCCACTGCCGGGCGCCAGGCGCGTCGGGCGCCATCGGCCACTCGAGCCTCGGTGCGCTCCTTGCCGGCTTCGAACCGTCGTCGTCGGCGCCTGCCACGCCGATCGTTTCGCGGCATGCCTCGTTCCTGGACCTCCACGACCAGACCTCTGCCACCGGTCTGCTCTTTGCCGACTGCTCCGGACGGGCCTCGCCCTTTGCGCACATCCTTGAGCCGCAGATGTGACGCCGCCCATCTACGGTGCGCATCCATCATCACTCGTTCACACCAACACGCCACACCAAGCAACTACAGTAAATGCCTAACATCGATGCCTGCTGAGCCGCGCGAGTATGCGGCGAGAATACGGCGAGTGCTCGGCCGGACAGCAACAGGTGGCGTCAGCAGGCCCCGCCCGGAGGCGACCACACCCGCCCGCCTCCCGCCCCGGCCTCAACCCCCGTTCCACGCCACTCAACGCCACAAACATCTCCATCATGACAAGCAATGCACGGTTGCCCGAGCCGCTGGAGCTGCCTCTGGCGCAGAGCACAGAGGTGGCCACGTTGGCGAGCGAGGCCGGGCAGTGGGCAGTGACGCGTGGTCTGGTCAAGGACGTGCCCGGGACCGGGGTGACGCACGCACCGCTCGCACTGTACCCCTCGCCGTTTCCCAAGGCTGCCTTTGAGCATGTGTGGGCGCTGCAGCCGCTGATGAACCGGCTGCTCTCGGCGTCGGCGAGTGACAGCGAGCTGCTGCACAAGGTCCTTCGCCCGGTGGCCAAGCGCGACCCGTTTGTGGCGTCGCAGCTGGCCATCCTCGAGGCCGTGGGCGGAGTGCCCGGTGGGCGATCGGGCGTGGTGGCCGGCATCTGGCGGACCGACTACCTGCTGCATCAGCCGCAGCAGGACAACCCGTTGCGGATCCTGCAGGTGGAGCAGAACGCCATCTCGGTGGCGTACGCGGCGCTCTCGTCGATCGCGTGCTCGCTCCACGAGTATCAGCTCAAGCGCGGGGCCGTCCAGCCAGCGCTTGAGTTTGACTCGCCGCCGAACGCAGCGCTCAAGGAGCTGGTGGCCCTGCTCACGCTGGCGCACTCAGAGTACGTGGCGCGGCAGGCACCGGCCGCGACGCCGGTGGTGGTCATGGTGGTCCAGGCCGGCGAGCTTAACCAGTACGACCAGCGGTGGATCCAGTACCTGCTCTTCGAGTCTGCGGGCATCAACATGGTCCGTGCCACCCACGACTCGCTCATGGCAGACCTCGAGCACGACGACGAGGCTGGGACTGTTCAGCTCAACGGTGCACCGGTAAGCGTCTTCTACTTTCGCGCCGGCTACACTCCCGACGACTATCCGAGCCAGGCGCACTGGGACATCCGCGCAACTATCGAGGCGTCGACGTCGGTGAAAATCCCGGACATTGCGCACCAGCTGGCGGGAACCAAGGCCATGCAGCGGGCGCTTGCCGACCCGGAGGTCCTAACCCGGTACGTGTCGCCGTCCGAGGCCGCGGCGGCTTCGTCGGTCTTTGCTGGCCTCTACGACTTGCCTGCCGACAGCGGACGGGCGACCGAGGTGCTGGCGCAAGCCGCGGCGGCGCCGGACGACTACGTGCTCAAGCCGCAGCGCGAGGGCGGCGGGAACAACCTGTATCGGGCGGCGCTCGCCAAGGCCATCGCCACCAAGTCGCGCGATGAGCTCGAGGCATACATCTTGATGGAGCGCATTGTGCCGCCGCTGGCCCGCAACCTTGTTCTCCGCGGCGGAGTGGTCAAGGAGATCCAGGGCGTTTCAGAGCTTGGCATCTTTGGCCTCTTTTTCAAGGATGTCGCCTCGGGCACCGAGATCGACAACAAAGCCGGTGGCTACCTCCTCCGCACTAAGCCTGCCGACGTCGACGAGGGCGGCGTCTCTGCCGGCGTCGCCTATCTCGACTCGGTGGCGCTCGTCGACCTCCCGTTCGACAGCTCGCCAACAATGACTATTCCGGGCGCAGTCCGCAAGGCATCCGATGCCATCGAGCCCGATGCTGACACCGATACCCGGCCTGCCAAGCGGGCCAAGGCTTAGTGTCTTACGTGCGTTTGTGTAAAAAGTTGGATGGAGGGCCGGCTGGGAAGGGAGGGGGGGTGAGGTGCGGGGGAGAAGCGACCACGGCCAGCAAGTTTCAAGTCGCAGAGGCACACACCTCACCACTTACACCTCCGTACCACCACCACCACCACCACCACCACCACCACGACAACAACAACAACAACAACCCATCTCACATACATACATACATACATACATACATACATACATACACCCACGCCTACCGCCATGCCGTCCTCGTCGTCGTCAAGTACGACAGCCGGGGCCAAGGGCGGAGCCGGAGGAAGAGCAGCAGCGTCGGCAGCCGCGACCCGCGAGCAGCGGTTGCAGCAGGAGCAGGCGCTGGAGAAGATCCCGATGCTGGAAAAACAGCTGCAGGTGGCGCCGTACTTTCGGTGCCTCCAGCCAAGCTGCAAGTGCCAGTCGTTTCTGGACGCTCAGTCTGTGGCGCAGCGGCAGGCGATCAAGGCCGGGACGACGACGCAGCCGATGGCGCGCGAGGCGCGGATCGAGTGCCAGAACTGCAAGCACTCGGTACATTTGCACGGCGGGCTGAGCAAGCTGAACAAGGCGAGCATGAACGAAAAGTTCCTCATTGTCATCCACATCAAGAAGCTGGTGACGGCCATTCGATCAATGCCGCCGGGCGACGAGCGCAACAGCTACGTGGCAAAGATCCACAAGTACAAGGCGCGGCTGATGTCGTCTCCGGCAGACATGGAGGAGTTTCTCAAGATGATTGGCACGCCGCCGTTCGAGCGGCCGGTCATCCAGCAGATTCTGATGAACTTTCTCGAGTACAAATACGCCGGCGCCCCGGCCGAGCAGGTGGCGCGGATTGGCAAGCTGTGCAAGACCTTCATGTCGGCGATCGACGAGCAGATGCTGCCCAAGCCTGCGCGGTACCTCGAGTACAACCCGGGCGACACGACGTTCAAGGTCAACTACAAGCGGTGGCTCATCTTTTGCCAGGGCACCAAGTGCGGGAATCTGGCGGGCTACCGCTACGCGGCGTCGCAGATCTTTGGCCGCTCGTTCCTGCTCTCGGTCTTCACTCTTGCGCAAGAGCGGGTCATGCAGGTCTTCCTCCTCCCGGCCGACCTCCGGCCGCTCATTCCTGACTTTTTCTCCATGCTCAAGGAGGAAATTGTCAAGCCAACGTCGCCGATCTTCCACAACAACCCGTCACGATCGGCAAAGCGGCAGGCGCCCGATACGTGGTCGGGCACGGTCGCGCCACGCGAGCCGAAGCGGGCCAAGTTTGGCCTCGACGCCGTATACACCGACCAGGCCGGGCGGGTGGTGGCACCGCCGACGGCAGCGGCAGCTGCCGCTGCTGGAGCCGCCGCTGGCGGCGGCTCCCGCTCGAACCTCTCGCTCAACGGGCAGCAGACCATTGCGCCGTCGGCGATCCTCATGGGCTCGATGGGCTCGCCGACAGAGCTGGCGCGCGCGGCAGCGGGTGGAGCGGACGCGAGTAGCAGCGCCGCGGCGGAGGCGCCGCCGCGGCGGGCCAAGGACGTGCGTTTCGAGTGCATCACCAACGACGGCGCGACGCAGACCATCTACTGGCTGTGGGAGGTGCGGGACGTGGTGTCGCGCGGCCTGCCGCGAATGCCGCGCGACTACATCACGCGCCTTGTCTTTAACCGCAAGCACCACGCAGTCATCATTCTTGACGACGACAATCACGTCATCGGTACGGTGGTGTACCGGCCGTTCCTCAACGACGGCTTTGCCGAGATTGTCTTTCTCACTGTCGAGTCTGCGCAGCAGGTCCGCGGGCTCGGCTCGAGGCTGATTAACCACCTCAAGGAGGTGTGCAAGGCGCAGGGCATCTACAACTTTCTGACGTACGCCGACGACTTTGCCACGGGCTTTTTCCGCAAGCAGGGCTTCTCGGCCATCCTCACTCTTCCTCGCAACCGGTTCGAGGGCCGGATCAAGGACTACGACGGCGGCACCCTCATGGAGTGCCGGTTCTCGCCGCTCGTCGACTACCTCAACATTCCCACCATGGTGGCCAACGCACGCAAGGTCCTCGAGGCTGCCATCAGAATGCGGAGCAACAACCACGTGAAGCACGACGGCCTCCCGGCTGGCGGCCCCGTCCCGATCGCTGACATTCCGGGCGTGGCCGGGACGCAGTGGACGCCGGCCGACACGGTCTCGCCCGAGTCGGTCGCCGAGCTCCACGAGAAGCTTGCCATTGTGATGGAGCAGCTCAAGGGTCACGCCAAGGCCGGCCCATTCCTCCAGCCGGTCCCGCGCGAGATTGTCGACTACTACGAGCAGGTGCCCAACCCGATTTCGTTTGCCGAGATCGAGGAGCGTCTCAAGACCGGCAGCTACTACGTGACACGCGAGCTGTTTGTCACCGAAGTCATGCGGGTCTTCAAGAACTGCCGCTTCTACAACGACGTCGACTCGCCGTATTACAAGTGCGCCAACGCGCTCGAGCACTACTTTAAGACTCGGCTGCTCTCGGTCGGGCTGGCGTGACGCCTCGGGCTGTAAACTACTTGAGCGCAGTGTGGAAGCCGTTGTAGGCGGTCTCGAGATCGAAGAGCAGCTGGCGGGTCTCGGTCTCGGACAAGTTGTCCGAGGCCTGCATCTGGTTGAGTTGCGTGAGCCACTGCTTGACGGTGGCCTTGCCGTCGTAGTCGGGCGGGAGCGAGGCGACGGCATTGAGCGAGGTGAGTAGGTCTTTGAGGACCGGGTGGATCTCGTCGACGGCCGAGAGGCCGATCTTGAGGGCGTCGAGAGCCGAGATAAAGTGGTGGACGGCCTCGGCGACATGCTGCGCATGCTTGGACGAGTCGTCCGACGTCAACGCGCCATGCTCGACCGTCGCCGGCACGCCGATAGTGAGGAGCCGATTGACCGCCGCCGGGCATTCCATGCGGTACTCTGCCATAAAGACCTGGATGTCTGGGACTACCGACGAGAGCAGGTTCTGGGCTGCCTTGAACTGGGCAATGAGCTTGGAGCACGCCGGTGTGTACTCGTCGGCCGAGATCGAATCACGAATGTACGCCTTCTCCAGCAGCTCGACCGTGAGGATGATGGCGTATAGATCAGCCATGTTCTCAACCTTTTCGCGCTCGCGCGACGTCGCCCACAGCTTGACCTCCTCGACCTCCTCGGACTCTGCCAGCCCATTGCTTGCACCTGCCACATGCGGCGCCTGGGCCGGTGCCTGCGCTGGTCGCTGGGGGCGACCATAGGCCATGTTAGAGCCAAGCCCTGGTGGTGGCGGGCGCATCAGCGGGTTGCCTCCGGATCCGTATCCGTACTGTACAGGGGTGGGTGGGTGGGTGGGTGGGGTGAGTGAGAGGAGGAGGAGGAGGAGGAGGGGCTGGCGGGAGGGGAGAAGGAGGCGTACCTGCTGGCCTCCGGAGAACGCCATATGTGGAGGGTGAGGGTGTGGGGGGGTGAGGGTAGAAGGGAGAGGGAATTGGGGTGGAGTGTGTGGAGTGGGTGGAGTGTGTGGAGCGGACGAGTGGTGGTGGTGGTGGTGGTGGTGGTGGTGGTGGTGGTGGTGGGTGGAAGGGAAGGGGGAGGGGCGCCTTCGCACAAGCCACAGCGACAGCCACTTCCAGCTCAATCCCCCCCCCCCCCGTCACCCGTCACCCGTCACCCGTCACCCGTCACCCGTCACCCGTCACCCGTCACCCGTCACCCGTCACCCGT